AAGGTAGAGCGCACACGGCTCCTCACACAAAAGAGAGGACACTCAAGGTTGGACTCACCTCCTCGCGGTAAGAAGAGATTGAGAGGGTAGATAAGGAATGGGAACAACGTACCTGGCCACAGATTTCTCACCAATTGAGCTGACGTGCATTTCGATGACCGGTCATAGCCTCGGTACCACCCACAACGCGATGCAGTGCCACCTCAGCCAAAATGCCACATCAGCATGCTCTCATCACCATACATACATCAGCCGTCGCCACAGCTCCCAAGCTGTCACCACAGCCTTCCAGCGGCTGGCCCCTCTACCTGGGCCCCGCTCTATCAAGCCAGCGCCAAAGTATCCTTACTGCACATGAAGCATCGTCAGTGCACGAAGTAACAATGTCGCCAGCGCTAGGTAAGCGGCGATCACGAACCAGCTCCGATACCAAATTGCAAGGAATATGAGTGTGAACGATATACAGAGAACCGAGTTACGAATTCACACAGATGTCCAAGTAGTCGTGTACAAGCAGAGAGCACAAATGCACCGAGAATCCATCCAAATAGAGCAATACAATGAAGTAATGAGCCAATGTTCAAGCCCTCGGGCCACACTAACACAGTATCCAATGTCGCTCCTCTCTGTCCGGGGCCCAGCGTCCAGCCTACTCTACTCGACTATCCTACCTACAGCTGTATTCAAGCAACAGGCTCACTTCGACTATTGAAGACCAATGGGCCTGATGTCCACACCATAGCCAACCTCTCTTCATGCACCAGGTATGTATCTCGTCATCCTCATCAGACCTTGATCACCCACACACTCGCCTCCTTCCTGAAGACCACCAATCACACGCTCACCCCGCTAGCGCCCTGCAGCCCGGCTATGGCTGCTAGCGCACCACTGCCTTGCAGAGCCCCACTTCACCACTCCCGCACGTGGCCTGGCCGCAGCGCAGTATGCCGTGTCTCGCGCAGCAACGCAGCAGCGTGACCGCATTGACTGTGTGGGCCAGCATGTCCAGGCCCTGGCTGCTCTCCTTCCTATATGGAAGTGGCAGGCCCTGCATGGCTCTGTGTGGCCTGGCTAGAAGCTTCCAGTAGCTTCCTGTTGGGCCCCATTTCCTGCTCCCAGGCCCGAGGCTACAGTTGAGGGCCTGGGCCTTTTACAGTTTGGACACGGCCTTAGTCTCCGGAGTTGGGCCATTTCCTGCATTTGCACAGGACCCCGGGGTAGGTACGTCGACAGCACTGCTTTTGCATAGGCCTGTGGCCACTTCGTGATGTATCGGCCCTGCTTTGTCTGTAGGTGCCCAGGCGCAACTGCCAAGGCCTGGGCCAACTGTACCACGCAGCTTAGGGAGGCTCGCGCTCCACTCAACCAACTGGCGGGTTGCAACAGCCTGCATACCCACATATGAAAATGGCGAGTTTTGGCCTGTGATGAATATTCAGGCCCGCCTTCACTTAGGGCGGGCACTCGGCTTGCTGGGGGGCTCTGCCCAGAACATGTGTTTGTCTGATAAGGGCCCCTGTGAGGGCTCGTTCCTCACAATTGCTTCMCCTACCAGTTTTTTTTTTTTTTTAAATCAGCAATCTTCTACATGGAATGAACTTTCTTTCAAAAATGAGAGGAAAAAAAAAAAAATCCCTTGCCCTTATTTTATTTTATTGTATTTCGGCTCCTTTTTTCTGTTTTCTAATTCAAAAAAATCTGAAAAAATGTCAAAATGGAAAAAAAGTTGGGGCTGTGCCGCTGTAGGGCTTACGAAACCCTACAACCCCAGTTATTATTATTATTATTTTATTTAATTTTTTTTGGCCTAAAAACAATTGTTGAAACTTGTGGCCGCTGCCCGACCGCCCGAGGCTCTCGGCCGCTGTGATGGTCCCGGTCGCCATTCGAGAAATACCCCGCGGTCATGACCGCAGGGAACACATGGGCATAAGATATTTGGTTTGGGCTTGTCTGTGTTGGGGTCTGGGATGTTGCGTTTTTTTTTTTTTTCCCCGAAGTGGTGGGGTGGGGTCTTCAAAGGTTTTGTCACACACCTTCTTTTCCATAAACCCCATCTTTGTTTTACTAATTCATCTTTGTTTATGCTACTCACTAGTAGTTTAGTTTTGCTTTTATTTCATTTTGTCACCATGAATGGAGGTCATTTAATACCTAATGATATAAGTCCAGGAATAATGTGCCGGGGGATAGTGAGTCACTTGTTAGAGAGGATGCTCCAGGTGCGATCTATTTTGTGTCATAGGTCCCTGGACTTTGGGCAGTCAATGAAGCAGTGGTTTACCGTTTCCGGGATCTGTAAATTGCAGACCTTGCAGGGGTTATTGCTTATTCTACGTGTACTAGTCTTGTAGCCAATTAGGCTATATGGTATTCGCTTGTGGTATCTCCCATCATTCTGTGAGTGTATTTCATCTGATGAACCATGCTCTTTTTAAAGCATTACTTTTGTTGAGTGCAGGTTCTGTGATTCATGCAATGTCTGAGGAACTAGACACCAAGAATCTTGATCTGTTCTGTTTTCCTTGCTGCGTCTCTGTGCCAGCCAATGGTTCGTTCACTGGTACTGCCCTGAATTTGCTATTAGCCATCGTAGGTTGGCTAGCTTAACACCTAGTGCAGAAAATGGACTTCCAGTGCGAGGTTATTTGAGATTCAGCACGCATGTTTTCTTCTTTTGTCCATCTTTTTGGTCCGGTGTCAGTTAGTGAGGTGGGTTTAGAGAAGAAGAGACAGTGGCCTAGTACGGTGGAGAGGCGGTCAGAAGTTGGACGAGGTTATTTGAGATTCAGCACGCATGTTTTCTTCGTTTGTCCATCTTTTTGGTCCGGTGTTAGTTATTGAGGTGGGTTTAGAGAAGAAGAGACAGTAGCCTAGTACGGTGGAGAGGCGGTTGGGGGTACTCCAGGTCCATTCTGTTGGGTTTATTTCCAGGTTCTGTATACTTGACTGAGGCTTAAAAACCCTGTTTCTTTCCTTCCCCTTCAATGACCCTTATTCTTTGCAGACTGCTTGTTTTGAATGATCCTTCTGCTCTGCTCTCTATATCGATGACGCTTACTGGTTCTGCTCTGCTCTCTATATCGATGACGCTTACTGGGTTCCCTGGTTCCTTGAGGGTGAAAAAATGTTGCAGCAAATCCAATTATTGTTCTGGTTTTCATAAGTTTTGACCTCCAATACCGTCCCCCGGTCCTTTGTTGCAGCCCAGTTACCGTATTGCCATTTCTGTTTGGATCGTAGTAGGCGCCTCCATTCCATGTTGATACTCTCAAAATGATCTGACTAATGGTCGCTTGAAGGTGATGGGTCCCTTTCAGTGTTGGCCTAAGATCATTTTCTGATTTCCACGCGTTCGTTGTGTCCTCCCAAAGATGTTGGATTTGCCATATTCCTCTTTCTACCCAATGGCCCCATTTGGCATCCGATTTGGAAAGACGGAAGCTTTCTCCTTTCTCAATTTTGATGCAGGGATTACCAAAGAGGGGTTGTCTGAATATTTCGTCTCTTTTTTTGGGCCCTATCCTGTTCTCTGGACATATGTTTCTCCCAATCCGTAGGATCTGTGACCAGAGGGACTTTGAGGGTTCATTATCGCGTGTGTCGTCTTGGGTCAATTGTGAGTGTTGGTTTCTTTTGCTTTTGGGAAGTGGCCAATGCTTGTCGAAGATCCAGTAAAGGCCTGGCATGCTCTTCGGTGATTTGAATGGCACTCCCTGATGTGTTCAAGGGCTATAGGAGCCCAGTGCAGGTTGATTTGAAGGGCCTGGATCTAGCGGGCCGGGTCTAGAAGGCCCATACCTCCCGTGGCTTTGGGTTGAGTAACTGTTTGTCAGGCCACCTTATGAATGCAGTGTTCGTTATCAGGGTTGCCTGACCACAGGAAGGCCACTGTCTTTTTCTTGATTTGGCTTCGGAAGTCGTCAGATGGGAACCAAATAGAGGTAGCGTACCACATCGTGGATAGAATTGAGTTGATTAGAGCTAGGACCCTAGCAACGAAGTGTGGATAGTAGGATACCCTTCCACGTGTGCATTTTGTTAATCATGGATGATAGTAGGGAAGTGGCCGATGTGTTATGGCAACCTTTCGTATTTAGGTTAATCTCTAGGAAGCGAATCGGGCCGGATGGATCTGCCCAATTCATCCTCGTTTCTTTAGGTTAATCCCTAGGAAGTGAATCGGGCGGATGGATCTGCCCAATTCATCCCCTCCAGAGTGAGTTCAATGGGAGGGGGCACTTCCGAGAGCCACCAACCAATTGGTGTTTTGGTCCAGTTCACTTTCTTTCGGAGGGCAATTGAAAGGCTTGTGTTGATCTTGTCAGCGCTTGGAATGATGAGTTTCATGCCCCGATGAGAACTGTGAGATCGTCCGCGAATAAGAGGATGGTAGGTATTTGTAAGGACTGTCCTTTTTCGTCCTTGATGTTCACAAGTCTCTCTATGGACGGTTCTTTTCTCAGGAAGGCTGTGATGGCTTCCATTACGAATAGGAAGATTAGTGCCCATTTCCGGAAAACCGGTCCAATGCCCATTTTTTCCGTGCAGGATTGGAGAAAATCCCATAGGCGTTCTCAAAATCGAAGAAGAGAATTGCTGCTGTGATCTTCTTTTGATTTATTATTCTGGTGGACTCGCTCAGTGCCATTACATTGTCCTAGTCTGCCTGGGATGAACCATAATGATACATCCATCACAAGGACAACATGCACAGCACAGGATCAACACAACGAAGGTGTGTGTGTGTGTGTGTGTGTGTGTGTGTGTGTGTGTGTGTGTGTGTGTGTGTGTGTGTGTGTGAGAGAGAGAGAGAGAGAGAGAGCACGTTTGGCATGAGACTGCAGATCACTGACCTATGAGTGCCTGTGGGCCACATTTTGAGAGAGAGAATGCTTTGGAATTGAAGATATGGAAGTGGAAGGAAAGAACGAGGGCTCAAAAAAATGGATCAGAAGGAAAATTCATACGAGGACAAAGGTAAAGGACAGTTTGCATACCTCCTCTGGAAACCATACTCCGGGTTTTGTGTACCCTTCCAAAACCGCTCTAGCAAACGCCGATGTGGCCACCCCAACGGCCCTGAATTTGTCAAGCAAAAGGATGCACTAACAATTGAGTACTTTACTCAGCTTTACTGTTGCTTCCCCCTTGGATTGCTGCTTGTGATGCCACCTGTTGGCTGTCCATTTACAACAGAGGTTAAAGGAGCTGATGATGACTCAAAAGAGACAGAACATTAATTATTAATACCAACATTAATACCGGAATTCTTCAGGCTGCTGAGGGTTCCACCTCCTGATGAGTCCGTGCAAGTCCGAACAAACAGTCTGTCATTGTCCTTGTTTTGTTTTGTTTTGTTTTGTCTGTTTGTCTGTTTGTTTGTTTGTTTGTTAAACTTGTTTGTTTGTTTTTTTAAGGAGCAAGTGCGTTTATGTCACAACCGAGTTTCAAATGGGCAAAACAAAACACACACATGGGCAAAAAGAACAACTGCCGAACTTAAAAGGGCAATGAAAATACCGTGGCCGTGGTGTCAGGCTGGGTGTCAGAACTACAGGGGTCAGCATTAATACCGGAATTCTTCAGGCTGTCGAGGGTTCCACCTCCTGATGAGTCGGTGCAAGTCCAAACAAACAGTCTGTCACCGTCCTTTTTTTTCCTTCTTTTCTTCCTCCACCCCCCCTCCCCTCCCCTCCCCCCGCACTTCATGTATCTACTTCAAATTACTTGTATGTTTTTCTGTCTTCCACCATTCCTATAGACATGTTCAAAAAAGTTCTGCATTGCATTCATTGAATTTCATTCTGTTCACAGGAAGGAGAACTGTCTTCAAGTCTTTGTGGATCGTTTGTTGCTCCTGAACAGCGATTTTGTTAAAGTGGACGTATTAGTTTTTTTAAAGGAAATTAAAATCTCATTTTTTGGCCCGAAAAAATCATGAAATTGAGGCTACAGCATCCTGATGACGCCCTACCCCCTCGATGCAAGTCCACATACGTCCAGGCCAGAAAACGCCGGACCCCTTGGATGTATGTGGACTTAGCAAAGTCCAGATACATCGGAGCGGCATTTTCAGAATGCCATACCCTCAATTTCATGAATTTTGGGCCAAAGAATGACATTTGAATTTGGTTCAAAAAATATAATATCATATTAATAATATTTAATAAGTCCATTTTAACGAAATCGCTGTTGTTGGAGGTGGCCGTTTGCAGTACAACTGTGTTTGTACTCGGGATATGAGTTTGTGTGCTTTCACACACACACACACACACACACACACACACACACACACACACACACACACACACACACAATCAGGTTCATGTATGTCTTTCTCGTGTTGTTAGTCCTTTCTCCTATTTTTTCTAAGTACTTTCTGTGTGTTTGAGTGAGCACCTTTAACGAGTGCTAAATAGTAGGTGCTCCATTGTTTGAAGTGCCTGCAGGACTCTTAGGGGAGCCGCTCTGTCCGTGATATCTGTGTGGTGCATATGGTCAGTGTGTGATGACAGAGGTCCGTCGGAGTGATTCCCTGGCTCAGAAGGTGGTGGGAACCAACAGTCTACGGGGTTCACCTGTGATATGAGTAGGTGATGTGCACTTTGCTCCGCGTTGGATGTGTAGACTGCCTCATCTGCACTCTGCCGGTGCCTTGCTGCTCGTCCCGCTTGCTTCACGCGTCGTTTCCGGCAAGCTGCTGTGTTCACTTGTGCTGTGGCTGCAGTGCTGATGTTGCCTCGTGCCACTGCTCTGCTGCCTTGTTGGCCATCTGCGTGCCAGCCTTCCACGTCCTTTCCGTGTGTGCCGAGTAGTGTGGCTGCCTTGATGGTGTTGCCTTGTGCTTCACCGCGCGGTTGCTGCGTCGCTCGTCCGCTTGCCCTGTCGTTTCTTGCAGTTGTTTTTGGCGTTGTGCAGCCATGTTGCCTCAGTAGCGTTGCCTGGTGCTTCGCTGAGTCGCTTCCCGCTGCTAGGTTTCGCTTGCGGACAGTCTGCCTCTTCAACATGGATCAAAGGGTTCATGACCCAAAGTTCCAAACCATCAATACGGAGATTCCGCAGATTGGCAAGGGTTAAGGGCCTCGACACACCACTCTTGAAATGTGAAAAAGACAAAAATGTGGCCATCGGGCCATGTTCTAGCGGGAAGTTCATTCTCAGTTTGCACATTTCGAGAGTGGTGTGGCGATGCCCTAAGCCTCCTGATGCTCCGGTGCAACTCCGACGAAACAATCATGAGCTGTTTCTTTTTAGGGTCTTTGCATTTTTTTTGTGGGACTTGTGTACCTTTTTTCGGGTTTGTTCGCCTTGTGTGCTCGAGTGTCTTCTGCCCTCCCGCCTACCCTATGCCTTGTGTGCTCGAGTGTCTTCTGCCCTCCCGCCTCCTGTCTCCCTATGCCTTTTCGGATGTCTTGTTTTGTCTTCTTTCTGGGTGCGCTGCCTTGTGTTGACTGTCTGCCCACCCGCTTCGCCCGTGCCCTCCGGCCTATGTGCCTTCGTTGTTGCCTGCTGTCCCATGTGTTGTTCCCTCATGCCCTGCTGTTGTTTTCTTTTTGTCTTCCCACCTGTCGCATTGGTGTTTTTTTGGGTTGACGCACACAATGGATCTTGCTTAAGTAGGAGCTATATCACGAATGACAGAATCCATTGCGATCGTTACCCGGCATCTCCACCAAAAAAAAAAGAAAAAAAAAAAGAAAAAAAGAAGACAGAATCCATTGCCCCTCGTCCGGTTTTGTAGATGGTATGGAGCACAGTGTCTGCGGTTGGAGAAATTGTACATGTGCTGTTACACACACACACACACACACACACACACACACCATCATCATCACACACACACACACGCACACACACACACACACACACACACACACACACACACACACACACACACATACAGACAGACCAGAAAGATAGTTTGTATACATTCATGTTGAGGGTTGCGTTTGGGGGAAGACAGTAGTGGAAACTGTATGGGACTGGAAAGATCGCTTGTATACATTCATTCATGTTGAGGGTGTGTCGGAAGATGGATGTGATGACTTTATGGGATTGGAAAGACGAAAGTGGGTAAATGGCAGACACCTAATTTGTTGATCCAGAGGTTAAGAGCTCAAATCCAGTTTCCAACAAAGTAATGTTATTAGTGTAATGACCCACCAAAACACAGACTGAGAACACTGCTGATTTCTGGGTTTTGTGGTTGGAATGTCTGCCTTGTTGAGATTCCCGCATTCTGCTGAGTTTTCTAAGTCTGTGTGTGTGCGTGTCTGTCTGAGTGCTTGACGGCCTGAGTGTGCGTGTGACCCGCAAGGGTAATTGTTCGTTTGGAGGCCCCACCAGGGCTGGTACTTACCTGTGGCCGTGTTGCAGTGGGAAAACCACCGGGGGTAGGCCCGCGATACTTAGAGCAGTGGGAAAACACTCAAGTAGCAGGTAGGTCGTGGTAGATGTGTCAGGTACTTGAGGCCTAGCAGAAGAAGACAAAAAGTTGGCATTTTTAGAGGCCCAGTAGCGGTAGGCTAGCGGTAGGCTGGCCTGGAAGTCACCGCCCAAGAGGCAAGTTGGCCGCTATATCTCCAGAAGGAGTGAGTAGCTCCTCCTCATTTGCAGTGTGCAAGGTTGGGCGACATACTGCTTGAGCGGGCACTGGACTCAGAGCGCTGCCTGGAGGACGAAGGAGAGCTGGGTGCTCAAGCCTGGCTATGGCGAGCAGCCCAGCTTGAGGATGAGGAAGAAGGGGGCGAAGGAGGAGAGTGGCGAGGTACCTACCTGGCTATGGTGGATACCATCTTCATCACCTTGCTAGGCGCTGCATCTGGAAGGCCCCAGTTGGGGTAGCGCCGCACCAAGGAAGCTTCGAGGCAGAGTCAGTCATGGCGGCCTGAAGAGCAGCGACCATAACTGCTTTGAGTTCTCTTTTGCACAGGAGGGAAGAGCCCTTAGTAGTCCGCCATAGCCTTGGCATGTGAGAGGAAGGTGAAGAGGGAAGCCATGGCTATGCTGGACCTATTGTTGTGCTGGCAGTAAGAGGGAACTTCGGATATTGATTCTGGTTCAACCACTCATTGTTATTATTATTATTATTATTTGGGAGAAGAATTAAGATTGGTGGAGACAAGGAGGAGGAGGAGGAAGGTGGAGAGAGAAGGGGGATTTGTCGTTGGTCTTGCTGGTGTACATCTTCTTCTTCTTCCTCTTCTTCTTCCTCTTCTTCTTTGCCTTCTCCGTCTCCTTTCTCTCTTCTTCTTTGGTCTCTATCTCTTTGCAAGTGCTTCCATGTCTTTCGCAATTGGGTGGCATTGTCTTTCCTTGTGAATTTGCACTTCAGAAATGACCAAGATCGTAACATTGGGGGATTTCTACTCCCCCTGATGCCCTCCTTTCCCCCTTCCCAGGCACACACGCACCTCAAACCTAGGGCAGGTACAACGTACCTGGCTAAATATTTGTAATGGTTTGTACGGATGCTATTTAAAAATTGTAATGGCTTGGAAGGATGCCACAGAAAGGCCTATGGCAGGTACAACGTACCTAGATAAGTATTTGTGTGTATACAGCGCAACAGACTTCACCCCGTCCGTACACTCTAGATCAACCTGCACACAAAGGTTTGTGGCAAAAAATAGTAGTTATGGATCAGTACATCTGGGCTCCTCCTTGCAAGCACGGAGATTCTCCGTGCAAGCACGGATTAAAAGTGCTTGTGTGCGAGGGATGCAGAGAATGTATTGGGGATATTTTTCCAGCTCCAGACGCATTTATGATGTTCGCGAGGGATGCAGAGAAGGTTGCCCAGGCAGCAAGGCAACAGCATGTGTCTCAGTCTGTGGGTGGCCGTGAGGGGGGCAAGGAGAAATGGGTGCAGTTTGTTACCCTGCCGTGGAACCACCAGTACATGCCCCCAGGCAGCTTGAAAATCGGCTCATCCGACAAATTCCGAAGGATCGGCGCAACCAGACCAAATGGCAGGCGGCGCCAGCCAAAAAAAAAAACAGAAAAAAAACGAGCTGGCGTTTCAGCAAAGCTTTGGCACGCAGGGCGAATCCACCTGTCGCACAAAAGAGGCTCGGATGCACTGGTCCTTCAGGCCACCAGTTTACACCTGGGCGTGGAGAAACTGCAATGTGCGCCAAGACTTTCTCAGCCACCAGAGGTGCACTTTTTTAAAGATTTTTGTTTTTCCTTCTCTCTTGGCTGGCGCCGCCAGCCATTGCGGTCTGGTAGGCCCGAGCTGCGAGTGGGTGACGACCATTTTTCCACAAGGCTGGGGCTGTGAACTAGCGGTATAACTGCGCAATGTCCATACTTCCACACAGCCCAGCCTAAGGGCACCCTCACACTACCACGTATTTTCGCAAAATCGCAAATTTTATGTAGTTTTTTGGGTCACAAGAGACACGTATTTTGCGTGTTCACACAAAAGGGCACGTAAATGTCAGCGGCCTGGACAGCAGCAGCCTTACATATTTTGCGGGGACCTCCAGAGGTCCCTGCAAAATCATATTTCTTTTTCCTCTACTGCTTTCTGGAAGCAAAAAAAAATAAAATTAAAGTGCATTGTGCTGTCTGACTGCACACAACGTATTTTTGCATCTCAAGGCCTGGTCGTGACCCTGTCCTTTCTGCTTTAGGCAACAAACGGGTGAGCAGTGTGACCCGCAGGTGCCATATAAACGCAAATTCACATACGTAAAATTTGCAGAAGTATGTGCTAGTGTGTGTATGCCCTAAGGAGCGGGAAGCCGGTTGATTTTGGCCAGGGGAGTCACAAATATTGTTGCTCTTCCCAAAAAAAAAAAAAAAAAAAAAAAAAAAAATTGTTGCTCTGTTGATTGAGAGTTGAAACCAAAGAGAGGGCCTCACTCCACTACTCTCCACATGCACAAAAGAAAAAAATAAAAAAATATGTATCGTCCCATGTTCTAGCGCAAGATTCATTCTCATTTTGCACATTTGGAGAGTAGTCTAGCGAGGCCCGGAGTTTCAGGAAACAATGGAGAATGCTCATGTCATAGTTGTGATAAGGTAGAGGGTAAATGTGAAAATAGTAAATCGTAAAAAAAAAAAAAAAAAAAAAAAAAAAAAAAAAAAGGTATTTGGAAATGTGGGTGGTTGCTGTACGGCTGATCCTCTTCTCTTGTCTCTTCTCCCTCATTGCCTGTAAGAACATGCTTGACCGTGATAAGCAACTGGACTGACGCCTTCCAGAATAGAAGACGCCTTGCTTTAGGGGGAAAAAAAAAGAAAAGAAGGAAATGTGGGTGGTGCAGTGGGGTATTAGTAGGGCAGGTTGATTTGAATTGATATGTCAGGAACAGACAGGAAGCGGAAATTATGGGACTTTGATGGAGATCCTGAATCGCGGCGAGTTGGAAAAGTACGGTGTTTGGAAAACGATCGAGATTCGGCCTATATCCATGCCCACACACATAAAAGTCCACTTGTACAAGATGAAGGAGAAGCAATGGGTGTTCGGCGGGTCAGGAATGGCAGTTGGAAAAGCGAGGTACTTGGTAAACGAGCGACATTCGTCGCATTTCATGCACACACACACATAAAAGACCGGTCGTACAAGATGACGGAGAAGCAATGGGCGTTTGATAAATAGCGGAATGCGAGTTTGGCAAACGGAACCAGCGGCATTTGTTGCATTTCCCATCCACACACGCATACAAGTCCCTTTGTTCGAGATCTGGCTTTCACTGGAGCCTGCACTTAGGACGAGCGGCTGACGAGGTGCAGCAGAGATTACGGCAATTCCATTGTGAAACATAATGAAAAGCCTGGTACCAAAAAAAAGGAAAAAAAAAAGAAAGCCTGGTGCAGAAGTTAGTTTGAACTAACAGAGAGGACCTTTTGTGGTCTCCGGCAGCATATATGGATGGTACCGTGCGGTGTGAGACTGAGTACCGTCAAAGGGCATGCCCTGATAAGCCTGGACCCACAGGATGGTACACCTGTGGAACCACACCAGGTATCACGCGTGTCACACCACATGAGACAATACCAAAGGGCACTGTTATCACCAGTATGGCTGTTGCATACCGTAACGGTGCAGACCAGAACAAGAACCGACCTCTCTCACATAGTACAGGATAGCACAGCAGAAGGCGAAAATACGAATGATCAGCCCAATCAATGTCACATTGCAGACCAAACATACATCATCATCATCGCATGGTGTGAAGGGGGCTGGCGCTCACACAGGAAGAACGCGCCAGTCCCAAAACATACACAGACGAAGAGGAGGGGGATCAGACGAAGAAGAGGGG